CAGTATTACAAATGAAAGTGTAAAACCGTCGCCACTTCCGACCTTGCCGAGTTCCTCGACTGACGCCCCTGTTGTTTATGATATAGGGCCTTCCAACTCATCAATATTGACCATAGTCCAAGTGAATGCTTCATCATCATCGGTTACGAATATTTCTGATGTCAGCCCATCAGATGCAGCTCCCTTACCTGGTAAAAGTTCGGCTGAAGATGAACACAACAGCTCAATGGCTATATTCTTTGTGTTATGTATATTGGCACTTGGCATATTGTTAATTCATCTGATGTTGCAAACGGGATTTTCTTATTTGCCCGAAAGTGTTGTCATAGTGTTCCTGGGTGCTTTGATTGGAATGATTATTAATCTTATGTCAATTAGGAATATAGCAAACTGGAGAAAAGAAGAGGCATTTTCACCAACTGCTTTCTTTTTAGTGTTGCTTCCACCAATCATCTTTGAATCTGGATATAATTTGCATAAAGGTAACTTCTTTCAGAACATCGGGTCCATTTTACTTTTTGCAATAGTGGGGACAGCTATATCTGCATTTGTAATTGGTGCAGGTATATATCTGTTAGGATTGGCTCAAGTGGTGTATAAATTGAGTTTTGTTGAATCTTTTGCATTTGGTTCATTGATTTCTGCTGTTGATCCGGTGGCTACAGTTGCCATATTTCATGCCTTGGATGTAGATCCAGTTCTGAATATGTTGGTGTTTGGTGAAAGTATACTCAATGATGCCATTGCTATAGTTCTTACAACTGCTGTCTTGGATTCAAATGATCCAATGATGTCAACATACGAGGCTATTCTGTCAGCCATTAACAGGTTTTGGTTAATGTTCTTTGCATCTGCTGGTATTGGTGTTGTTTTCGCACTAATCAGTGCTCTCTTACTTAAACATGTTGATCTTCGCAAAAATCCTTCTCTTGAGTTTGGTATGATGTTAGTATTTACCTATGCACCATATGTATTGGCTGAAGGAATACATTTATCAGGTGAGTTTTGCATTTTTTAATAAATATTTAAACATATAAATAAAATCTTTGACTTAAACTCAAGTCACCATTCACTTAATGTAAATGAAACATATGTTACAGGTATTATGGCAATCTTGTTCTGTGGAATTGTTATGTCTCATTATACACATTTCAACCTGTCTACTGTGACACAAGTTACAATGCAACAGACAATGAGGACACTGGCCTTTATTGCTGAGACATGTGTATTTGCCTACTTGGGTTTAGCTATTTTCAGGTAATTTAATGTACAATTATAAACTTTAATGACTATAACTTCTATAATTTATATGTTTAAATTTATTCTTTACTATTTAATATTGTGTGATACATTTGAATAATTTACATTTTGAACAAGTGTTACAAATCTCATGATCCAAAAATGTTACTATAAACAAATCTAAGTGTACACTTTAGATTTTGGTATAAAAGAGTTAAAGAACATGATAATACATAAATGTACTGTATAATAATAACAAAATGATTACCTAGAAAAATACTATCTATTAATGATTCTAGTTTTTAGCAAGATAATTCATAAGTGTACAGAAAGTAATACTTTTAAACTTGTTGTATGAATAATAAAGATAAGGAAACAAATAAAAATATAATCAAGGACAGATTATGAATGAATACTATTTATGATACTAGCGTAAAACAATGTAAATAGATGTTGCAAAAGCTTTACCTGTGCCTCAGTATGCTTCTAGAATTCTACCAAAATTTCTACCAAACCAATATCTACAGCAACTCTATCAGATCAGGATGATGATTCTACACAACAATTTGCTGATGTGATATGATTTTGATTTAGATTATGCCATAAAAAAGATAAACTGCACAAGCCATATCTTTTAAAGAAAGTGGAGCACAATTGACAATAATAAAAAAAATATAAAATATTGTGTATGAAAAAGAAATGGCGTTGAATTATTCCGCTATGGGCATCTTACTACTTCACAATGACCACTGAGTCCATATAATTACTGACCTGATTTTCGACGCTATATGTGTATTGTTTTCAGCTTCCGCCATCGTGTAGAGCCGGCTCTAGTGGTGTGGAGCATTGTGATGTGTCTGCTGGGACGCGCGGCTAACATCTTCCCACTGGCATTGCTTTGTAACAAATTCAGAGAGCACAAGATTACTAAGAAGATGATGTTCATTATGTGGTTCAGTGGTGTGTATTTTCACATTTGAATCTCAAAGAATACTTTTGACTAATATGTTCAACCAACAATCTTGCTTTTAACATTTATAACACTTCTGGTCTATCTTATTTTTGGTGATGAAAGTGGTACATTAAATATTAATATTATCTTATAGGGTTGCGAGGTGCAATTTCTTATGCACTGTCTCTGCATCTGGAGTTCTCTGACGAAACACGGCACGTCATCATTACAACGACCCTAATCATCGTGCTTGTCACCACTTTATTCTTTGGAGGCTCCACAATGCCCTTGTTGAAATTCTTACGTGTAAGTTGTAATAATAAATATTTATTTACCTTTTGTACAATGTCTGAAAATGTTTCCACTATGTTAGGAAATGGAATTTCAATGGATACTTGTGGCTTTTAGAAATTATCACAGGTCAGAAGTACAAGACAGAAGCTAGATAAAATATTTGTATACGAAACTAATGTTGATAATTTTTTTTTAATTTTGTTTTATATTTATTATAGGCCAACAAAAAAACGAAACGGTCGCGTTCCCAAAGAAAGCAAAAGGAAGTGAGTTTATCTAAAACAAAGGAGTGGGGCCAGGCCATTGACTCAGAACATCTTTCCGAAATAACTGAGGAAGAACTTGAGGTAAAGGACAATTAATTGAAATTTGTTCTATGTAAAAAAGATTTATGCTTAAATTATATGTGGGAGATACTTTTAACTTTTAGAGCTAGCAACAACATACCATACCACTGTTTGCCACCTTATACTATAAAAAAATCTTATTGTCAAATGACAAAAATGTTATAAGAGAAAGAAGGGATTAATTCTCTAATAATATTAGAAATAACTATACATTTTCACTAATGGCCGAAATTAAGCACTTTTATGTTTGCAGGTTAATTATTCTCATGCAACAAGACTTAAAGGCTTTGTGCGGTTGGACATGAAATATTTGACACCTTTTTTCACTCGAAGATTTACACATCAGGTACCTTTTATTTTATTTCCTTGATAAATAGTTTCCCTAATTATCCTAAATCCAGTTTGTTTAAATTTTCTTTGAGATATATCTATCTTGCAAATTGCAATAAACATGTACAATATTCTTATCTGTATTGAATGTTTAGTTTATAATAAAAAAAACTATATTTTAGGAGTTGAAGGATTGCAAGAGTCAAATGACGGATCTCACGAACCAATGGTACCAGGCCATTAGGATATCAAACGACCATGACACAGACGAGGACGAAAGTCTGCAGCAAACCTCTATCTCCAACTCACACAGCAGTATACAAAGAGGAGTCTAAATAGTTTATTTTATAGGTATTAATACATATAATCTGCTTTATAAAAATTATATTTTGTATTTATGAAATACAATGCACAGATGTCATAGACATAAAAAATTGTATGTATTTATTGGAAAGAATTAGTTTTTAATTCTATGATTATATTTTTTATTTTTCTGTCGTATTTAATGGTTTATATATAATGGTGTTACAATTATTCAAAGTGTCATAAGTTATTTGCCATGAGGTGTACCCAGCCACATTTTAAATATTGTATTTTTTTTATTAATAAAGAGAATTTTTTTGCTGCCATGGTTATTGACGTGGTTACCAAATTGATGTACCTAGAATTAATTTCGTAAAAGGTGTAAGTTGTACAAAGTGAATATTTACAATCTTTGTATATTATGTATTCTGTATTTTATTTATTTTTTTATCAACACTGACACCGGATCTTTCTGTTTTTTAAAAAATTACTCCATATTTACTATGGTATTTTAGAATTGTAAGAGAAAATGTGAATAATTACTAAACTCAAAGGTAACTCTGACATTCATAATGCAGAAATGTCCAATTGCAACTCAAATTTCGGTGCTGGCACACCTTTGTAATTATAAAATTTAAATATCATTCAATGAATGTTTGAGTCGAGTGTGATTTAGGTATTAATACAATTAATTTATATCAATATCCCCATTATTTGCAATAATTAACCATAAGTTTGAGAGGAAAATTTATAAAAAAATAACTTGCGCTTATACATATTAATTAAAAAATTTGTTCCACTAAAAATCCTGTGCATGTGTTAAATACTTAATTATAATCAAAATTTGGCGAAAATAACAAATGTACAATACAAAAAATTTTTAGGCACAAAAGCTATTTTTTTTTGTAATATTTATTCTGCTATAAATGTATAAATACCTTTTTTATACTTCTACTACAATTTTGTATATTAAAATGTTGATAAAAATATTCTTTTTCCACAATTTTCTGGTATGATTGTTTAATATAATGATTTATTTAATTTCGTTTTATATGTGTGATATTTTATGTATGAGTTAAGAAATATCCTAAATGGTAGCTCTTAATTAAATAATTAGTATCTAACTTGAGTTGTAAAGTGTATATAATTCTTGCTTAAAATGTATATTGAGTCAAGATAGCATAATTACACAAAAATTAGTAAAAAGTTTATTTTATATCAGAATATATCTGTCTACAATTACATAATTTTATGGCTAAAAGCGATTTATTTTGAAATGTTTAAAACCATTATTTTGTTTTTCAAATTATTTAATATATCAAATTAATCATATTTGTTACTATAGGTATTAGTATTATTAGAAATAATTCGATCTTTAGTACAATTTATTTATTGTAATAAAAATAATAAGAGTGCAGTATTATTTGTTTGTCTATACATAGATGAATTATTTATGAGCTGTAACTTTAATTTCTAAGAAAGGGATTATTAGCAAAGGATTTAATTTAACTTTAAAGTTGTTAACATATTTAACAGTCGGGTGGTAATGTACTTTTGTATTGTTGCAAAAATTATCATAAAACATTTTCTTAATTACTTTTTACAAAGATTTTATCAATGTTCTGATTTGGACAAGCCATTTGTAATCAAATGTGTCGGTAAATGTATTTTTGTAGTATGGATAATTCACAAGCTAAAATTCAAGTGTTCATCATGCATCAATGGTTTAATTAAAATTTGTTGTATTTTTTTAATACTGACAGAGTATTAGATTTCATTTATATTTCTTTGTTATTCTATTCAATGTCTTTGTGTATATAATGAAACAGTATTTATGTGTATAAGTTAGAAATTTTATTATTTAGCTTGGTTAATTGTTTACTGTTCCTGCTTATGTGATAAATATATAGTTTATATTACAAACAGGCTTTTATTTCTCACAATTTTTAACAAAAGCCATATTTAGCGAAATTGAAATATTCAGATTCAGATATTTCATAAATCAATTAAATTAATTTGTTAATAGAAAGTTAACCTTGATTGTAGAAAATTAACATTGAGGCTAAAAATATTTTTGCAGTGTCTAGTCCTCTTCATTTTCCAAATTGATGTGACTTCCAAATTTCCCATACAAGTGAACTTTCAACTCTCCCATCTGTGCCTTCAGCTCTGCATATTTTTCATCCAACTCTTTTATTTCATCTTCTTTCTTAGATTTTGTTACTTCCAATGATTTCTGAAATATAATATATTTATTGACAAGCTACCTCATAACTGATGTGTCCATTCCAAGTTCTGATTTATACTTGATCAAGTAAACTTGCATTCATGGCAAGTTAAGTTGTTTATAATTTTAATGACAAAAGTGTGTTTAGTAGTATTTTGCTTTTTAAATTGTACACACAGTATCCTATCTCACATCTCTCTAAATTAACTGGACGGCACAGCATGTAGTATGGATGAGGGAGTTTAGAACTGTTAAGTTAACAAGTAAAACAACTATTGACAACTAGTTTCCTTCTATGAATGGCAACTTACAACTAATCACTTGTTTATGTTTGGATGCTATTTGCATCTTATTACTAAAATGACTGATTCCTTAACTTACTTAAGATGTTTTTATGATATAGTTTTTGATGGCTTTTCTGTTAACATCTTGTAAATATTTGTTCATTGACATCTTACTAATATTATAAATGTTAATGTTTAGATGGTTGAATGGATGGATGTTTCTTAGGAGTTATCTCCAGAATGGCTCAACAGATCTTGATGAAATTTTACATGGATGTAGAACATATTCTGGAAGAACTCATAGACAACTAATTAGGCTCTTTTTAATTGTGTGTGGACGGAGTTGCTGGTGACAGCTTGTTCTTTTATATAATCATATCTACTTTTCATAGAGTTTCATTCATTTCATATCTAAAAATACAATTAAGTTCTCTATGAACATATGCTCACTCATAGACGATGCATGAATTGTGTAGAAAATTAGCCATACTTACTTTTGTGTTTAATTATTTTATTGGTAACATGGTTGCAATAAGCAATTAACAACAAAAGTTATCATACCACCTGTGTTTTATTACACAGCCTACATAAAAGATACCTAATAATAAATAAATAATAATTAGGTAAATTACTAAGTTAACTACAAACACAAACTTGTTAAAATATTGTGGTTATGTAGTAGATATTTCGAGAAAACGTTTAGGTTATATTCACAACATGGCTTTTTAATATCCAAAATTTACTTACTAAGGTATCCTCCAAGCTCTGGCATACGAATACCTCGCCAATAAGGTATGGAATTTTTTCCGTGTCGTCAGCCAGACCTAGTTCCTCCACTGCCTCATCTAGATTTTTCAAATCATTTTGCTTCGTTTTGAGTTCTTGTTTTATATCATCAACTTTAGCATTAAGTCGTGCAAATTTATTGATTTTCTGCTGATCTTCAAATGATATATGAACATCGGAGTCCTAAATAAATGATTTGTTAGGGTAATGTATACTGAAACGAACAGAGATTCTATTTTTGGAAAAAAATTCGACTTACCGGTTGGAAAGTGCCTTTTCCAGAACTTGTCATTTTAATGTTTATATTTGCGAAATGATTTTGATTCCCTTAAATGTATTTCCGTGTTAAGATAATCAATGTAACATATAAATAAAACGAATTTTTCAACCCACAACCCTACAACCTGAAAACTTAAATAACAAAGTTTGACAGGTTGATGTTCAAGTTTGACATTATTGTTTTGTAACATAAGACATATTCATCTTTTAGCCAAACTGGAATTTGTATTTATTGGTCTTAATTTAATTATTTTTTTTTTATTATAAGGTCTTTAAGTTAATTGTAAATTTGTTTCAAATTCAAGATTCAATTCAATATAGTGACCATATTCACAATTCATAATTTATTCTTGTAATTTTTCCATTTGAAAAACATAAATACTTTTAATTATAATAAAGATGATTAAAGATAATTAATTAAATTAAAAATCTAAGCCTACAAAGATTTCAAAGGACCATAGGTGTTTATCAAAATTTTGATTTCAACTTTTAAACTCCACGCGAACGAAGTCGTGGGGAACAGCTAAAAATTATATAAGAATCATAATGTTGCAGAAATAATGACTTAGGGTCATTATTCTCAGTCGATAACGCAATCAGATTTCTTTTTTTTTGCAGGGAAAGTTAATAAAAAAGAGCATTTTACATAAAGAGCACGGACAAATGGCTGCAATTGCGCGGCGGTGGTAATCGATTGATTTCGCTAACTGCGCAGCCGCGGTCATGGCTGTTTGTTATACCTCAATGTTTATCAAATCTTAAGACTATCTACACCATACTCGTAAAAGATGGTGAAGAGGGCCATTAAGTTTTGGAACTGTTATTAATGAATATTTTACAATGAATAACGCCTGCTAAAGTCTAGTGGTTGAGAAACACAAGATTGTCACAGCTATTTTTTTTTAAGTTTAACGAAATGTTCAAAGTTCGACCACTTTAACGGAATTAAGTTAGGGCAGTTTTGACAGAGGAAACAAAAAACTCAAAAGTTTATTAAAGTCATGTACTGGCTATTTACTTTCAAACTTTGGCCACGTAATGCTGCTTTCGATATATCGCTTGAGCTTTTGAGGCGGAATTTATGTTTGAATAGTTTTAAATTATTAAAACAGATCATATTAATTAAAATGAAGGAAATAAAAGGAGCTTATACTTATAACATAAGAAGCATTATGTTTAAAACTTTCATGAGATAAGTTTAATACTGAAGTCAAGAATTAACATGAAAGACTACAAAGTCGAAATAAAAACGAAAAATGAATACGTATTCCTTTAGGCCACAAAAGAGAATGTAGGACAAGCCTAGCTCATGTGGTACTAAGGTCTTAACTGATCGTTTTGTAGTACATCCGTGTATAAGGTTGGCCGATGTTCTAGCATCAGCAAGCGAACAATACCTCATACAATCACCATCTCCTTGCGACGACCCCACCACTCGTCGACGCCGTTCACTCGCTCGCCTTCGTTTCGACGCACTCCTGTTTTGACCGTCAGTCGATAAGCGCGTACTATACAAATTCATTTTTTTTTCGTGACATTCAGTCGTGATGGAGAAGGAGCACCAGCCAGATTCAATGGCGACAATCACCATGAAACCGGAATACCCACCCTCGGAAGTGTACAGCGCTTCTGAACCACCACCGGTATAGTCATTTTTATTTCATTACTATATTGGACTTATATGTCATCTGTTTATACGTTTTTTTATAAAAAAAATGGGTATTTTAAATTTTACGTTGAATTAAACAATTTTAACAATATTGCTATTATTATTTTGTTCATTGTAGAATTTTTTTGTTCATTGTAGAATTGTAAATTAATTTTAAAGAAAAAATGTATAACAGTGTCATGTGATAGTTTTAATCTATAACAGTAAAGATAGATGATGGGTTAGTTAATAAATAATGCCGGTTAGTGAGTGAGGTTGCGGGAAAGCGCCTTTCTCTCTGGCCGCGGCCGGTGCCGGCGCCGCCGGGTGCCGGTGACGCATGCGACGCCTGTTTGTAAACTATACCTTTACTTTATATACGAATTTTCCCTTTTTAAAGGCTAACAAAACTTTTTACTAACGTAAATCTAGAATGTACATAAAAATTTACTTTAGTCCACTTGCCTATTATTTTTTTATTTATTGGTATCATTATTGGTTTTATTAGTAAAGAATAACGAAATATGAAAGGTGGAATAAAGGAGGTTTCATTGTATACATTAATCTGTAGAAATTTAGTGCAATTTCTGAGAACCGACAAGAGACCTCCATAAGATATGTGCTAGTAAATGTGAGATTTCATTGTTCTATTGTAGTTGTCCATTTATTATTATAATCAAGCATCTATTATATAATTAGAAGTAGTCACGAGATAAGAGTAATGCTACAAAAAATAATAAGATGCATGTTTAATAGATCAAGTTTTTTCATTGTGCTCGGATAGAATTGGTGCTTAGTAATGCGTTGAATTCTTTTCTATTTAAATAATCTATTTGAGATGTTATTTCTAAGTAATAACATCGTCACTCTGAATCAATATTACTGGATGTAGACTTTTCACAAATCATTATTTTTAATTATTAAAACATTTATCCTTTTCAAAAACAAATAAAAACTAAATTATGTATCATGTATGGCGTAAGTTTTTTAATATTAGTATTTTGGTTAGTGTTCAGTCGAAATAAGTTAATTTTGCGTATTTAATCTGTTATGTTTGGCAGTCCATAGATTTTATATTTAAAAATGTGATCAAAGTCACTATTTGATCTGTGTTTCTTTGAATAATGTAACTTTCTAATTTGAAAATGCTGGATGTATTATTGTGGATGTGCACACCCCCAAAAATAATTTCTTTGTTTTTATGATGAAGTTGACCGATGAAAATTTAAAAAAAGAATTTAATCAAGTTTATTTCGATGAGCAAATTTTGAAATAGGTTGCATTTCTAATCCGAGCATTTATATTTGTGGCTAATTCATCGCGCAACTTTAAAAAAACATTGAGGTACACTAAAATCTGTTTGCAATTATTTAAAAGAAACAATCATTATTATGCATTAAAACAAGTTGCATGATAATCTGTATTCTGCGATTTTATTTCCTCCGGTATTTTTTTTAGTCCGTCAACAGAAGGAAAAACCCGGCATTGTAATAAACGTCGCAACGGAGTGAAATCGTTATAGGTACCGACCAGTCGCAGCGGTGGACATAACAATGGCGTTTGCGTCATATCCTACCACTTTTAGTGACTTCATAAAAAACTTATTGTTTACAAAGATATTTATGACTGTATTATAATGTACAAAATATACTTTATATTATACATAAAGACAGTTGATTCTTGATAGATTTGCATACGGAAATCAAATGCATAACAAAATGTGGAGGCATATTACGACAATAAGAAATTAACACATTAATGTTATACCTATATCCAATCTAAATATAAACGTACACAGACTACCAGTCCATGTAAATAACCAAACGACTAGGGATGTTTATGGTTCATAATTAAGCTAAATAAAGTTTTATTTAAGTGAAGCAATCAAGAGTGACTTATGATTGAGAAATTATTGAACCTTCTAGAACCGTTTGTAAAATTTGTCTATAAAGATATTCCTAACAATACATTTAAGTTGTTTTAAGAAAAGTGTGCACGTCCTTAAAAGTCAATAAAATTTTTCTTTAGCTGTTGTAGGTTTTAAGGCGACTAAGATTATTCATTTGTCCTTTTTATCACATATAACAAGCCTTGGTATTTTTCAATAAATATCACGTACTCATGAAGTATAATTTCTATTTGTTATCACACAATGCTATTTATTGTAAGAGACTAAAAGGATTCTTTCTTTGTCTTTTTGAGTTATGTTCGATGATAATAGTATAAAGCGATGATGCAAAGCGTTGCGATGCATTTTTATCAACATTACAATACGGTGTAACCACGTTTTCCCTGCTCTTACTCATCGCCATTTATTTATTCCTGCCCGTGTTGATTTTATCAATAAGTCGACGTGCATATTTCGAAATCAGAACACGTTTTTTTTATTTATAACATTTTGTTTTGTTTTCAGCTAGATACCTATTTTAAAACTAAAAAAAATTGTTGATTCATCCAATACTTCAAGGACAAAATTTATAACGAAATTATTTTACGTCCTAATTTAATCATAATAAGAAAAGTTGATTACTAATTAAGTTATTTATCATTAATTCTACGTTATCATAAAGTTTTAAGTTTCTAAAGTATTCGTTATTCCCACAAAGAATGATATTCGTTTTAAATATAATGGTAAACGTGAGCATTTGAATTTCGTTTAATTGACTAGGTGACCGTTAGAGTGGTTCCACAAGCGAGAACTTCCGTGCCGCGTGGGCTTGTTAAAACATTAGTCCCAGTAATGTTCATACCCACATTACGTCATGTCAAACATTGTAGCTCAAATAAGGAATAATCCATATGTCTGCAGTATTGAATAATGTTATTCTACGAACTTCACTTTTTAAAGGTACATAAGTCAATTACATATTATAAGGCGTCTATTAAATTTAGTTGTGTTCTTAAAATATGGATAGCTAATGATAAGGGCCTTGTTATGAAAATATATAACTTGAATTCCCCAAATATTGTAGAATTCACAAACTTAATTGTACTCTTTATTTACTATCTGGGTCTGGATATAAAATATTGTATATGCATAGTACTTGTTCGCATTAGCATTGAGATTTCTTGGACCTAAAGCCTATAAGACATCAGCTTTCTATTGTGATATCGCATTAGGCTTTTTATTAGAAAGTTAATGTAGTTATTATTAAACAATTAATATCTCCTACTTCAAAAACAAGTAGATAGCTTGGAGAAGTTTGTTATATTATCACAATATTATAGAATTTATTTTTTAAATTTTCTGCTATTTTCCACAAAATCAAAACAGTATCTCGGTATGTTTTATGTAGCGTAGTAATACAAGGTCGAAAAAAAATGTAGCTCGCTTCGGCATTAGACAATATCTTTATGTTTTTCATTTAAAAACAAAACTACATTCCATGGCCATCTTTATTGCTTTCAGAATAATAATGTTATTATATAATAACATGAAATTATGAAAACCAATTGGACCTTCAATTAATGATGGTTATAAAACACCATTAGATTCAGGTTAGACCTGCCTTTTTTCTATAGCTTTTG